AGTTTTTGCACATCCAGCACAAGTCCTGTAGTCTCATGCATTGCCCAGCCCACTCACCACAGTGAAAAGTGCACCTTTAAACACCTTTAAATAACAGAGCTAGACGTTTGAATTTATGAAACCAGTGTTTAGTGGAATTGTACAGAATGCTTAAGTACACAATTTCCTAGGACCACTTTTGCATTTTAAAGTTTGTTGCATTTTTACTCCTGTTTTGTCAATAAAGTTTCTCAAATGAATGCATTTTTATTTCCCCAGGTCACTATTCTATAGCATTAAATAAAATCTGAGCCAGAACAAATCTTTGAAGGAAGTAATCTCAGCTGCTTGGGTTTTTAATTATTCCACTTGCCATTTTATTTTGCTGAGCCTACATGCTTGGAAAAAAATGGGAAAAAATGATGTATAGCACAATTGAGCACAAATACATATTCAAAAACATATTTTAAAAGAGCTCATATACACACGTACACCAAAAAAAAAAAATCACATTATGATTAACTCATACGTTCAAATTAGTGAGGATCTGGTGTTGATTTCTGTCCCTCTTGAATCTGGAAAATTGCTGTAAACCTAATTAAGTGTGATTGAGGAAAATATTGTAATCTTAATTTTTCCATACCCACTCCTGCTCTGCAGCATTCAATGTTCTGCAACATTGTCAGTTTCTTTCTATTACATGCTGATCACATCTCCTAAACATCCCTACTAGAAATCTGCTTCTGTCCTCCACTAGCATCACAACCTCTTTGAAGTGGCCTCTTAGAGATCCTGCCCCTCCAAGTCCTGGCTTGCACTGTCAATGTTCTCCAAGAATCTTGGCCATTTAACAGGATGGATACTGGTGACCCAACAAGGAGCATTTGATTAGGCAATTGGACTAGGAGAATCCAACTTTTCCTCTTAGAAATGTGCAGTGGAAGGGGCCTATGGGCAGAATACACATAAGATGGGCACAACATTAAGACGGTCTGGAGATATTAGTGTTCTATTGCTGCTGTAACAAATGACCCCAGATTCAGAGTCTTAAAACAGCATAAAATTATGATTTCATAGATCTGCAAGGAAGATGTCAGACATAGGTCTCATTGGGTTAAATCAAGATGTTGACAGAGCTGCACCTCTCTTTGGGGGCTCTGGGAAAGCATGTGCATCCACCTGATTCAGGTGTTCGGAAAAATTCAGTTCCTGTGATCATGGGATGCTTTTTGGCCAGCTGCCTGCCAGGGGTTGTGCTCTGCTTCTAAATGTCACCCATACTCCTTGAACTGTGGCCTTCGTGCATCTTCAAAGTCAGTTGTTGGCTTCTCACCATACTCCAAGTTTTATCACTTCTATATCTGCTTTATCTTTCTTTTCTCTCCTATTTCTGTATTTCTCTTACTTCAGCCAGAAAAAAAAAAAAAAGAATCATAGGCTTATAAGGACTCATGTGATTCAAGTAAGGCCAGATGGTAATTCAGCATTATCTGCTCACCTTGCGGTTCCCCACCTTCTTGATATTTTTGGACTCTCTTCACAGCAATACCCACATTACTGTTTGACTGAGTAACTAGGGGACTGGAACCTTTGGGGAACACTGCAGAACACTGCCTACCACGGGAAGAAAGCATGAGAGAGTATCAGGAGGCAGAGGAGACAGGATGCTGAGAGGAGCAGGCTGCTTCCTGGCCACACTTCAGTCCTCCGTTCAAATCCTTCCCCAGCCTTGGCCATACTTTCAGCCTTGTGGTTCCAGTTAGGGTCTCTATATCCTGGTGAGTCATTCCTATCTGCTTAAACCAGATTAAAGCGTCTCTAAACACCGTCATGCACTGATAGCCTCCTCTGCTGGGACCTTCTGCTATGGTCTGCCTCACCTTAGGCCGGAGCAATGGAGTCAGCTGACCAGGGACTGAACCTGTAAACCCACATCAAACTGCTGAAAGAAAAGTTCCAAAAATATATGATGTTAAGGGGTGACTCTTCAGAAGAGGTCACCTGATTGAATATTGTGCTTTATTAAATCTCTACTTTTTTCTTTTTTACACAGATTAAACAGAAAACATCCCCCAAATAAATAAAATGTCCTCCAAGACTTATTGACACAATTAAAAACTCTCAATATGAAATGCCCAGATAGCATTTAAGAAAGTTCAGTGCAGTGTACTCAGATTAAGGCGTCACTTTATATGCTGGAGTCTGGATTTCTCGGAGTCTCAGTTCTCTTATCAAGAGATCAAGTGTATGAAACTCTTAGGCTTCTAGTAAAGTCTACATAGGTTATGTGAGAAAGCATCACTACTGACAGTGTATAATAAGGGCTGAAATGAGCTAGTGAGTCTGTCAATTTCTAAGTTCCTTTTCAAGTATTGCCTCACACTTGGCTAATAAGAGACCAGCAGGCAAGTTTGGTTTCCCCAGATTCTCCAAACAGACACCAGCACCCGAACACATTTTATCATCCTTTTTTTTTCTCTCTCTTTTTCAGACCCATTAGGCAGTCACTGTCCCTCCCAGGTGGGAATGGTCAGGCAAAAGTCTGCTAAGAAGCCAGGGCTCACCTTAATAAGACGTTACCAACATAATGGACGACACATTTATTTAAATGAAAATGGGAATGAATTTGTAGGTTTAGAAAGCAGTAGGTTCCCAATTTATGATTTTCTTAATCATTTTGGAAAATGGATTATTACAGAGAGTGAGTTATAGATGGGCCCCAGGAGAGCAGCTGGCCGGGGGCCGGGTGACACAAACGGCTGTCTGCAGGCTGGTGTTTGGAGAGAAGGAAGGTGCTCCTTTCTGGCAGAGGACATTTTGCCTGTGAAGCATGTGGCCAAACCAACCGATGAAAATGCAGCAAAAGTGTGGAATGTTGGTGGTCAGAGCATGAAGGGAGAGCAGCTCTGCAGAGGCACTGTCCAGAACAGCCCTGCTGCCCAGGGAATCCCACCAGGATCCTGGGCGGTGCTAACAGACAGTACGGAGAATTCTGTGAAGGGAACCTAGTCCCCGTCTGTCTCTCAGGGCCACGAGGAGGAAATAAGCACCCCCCAGGGCAATAAAAGTGTTTCCCAGTGGGGTCATGGTCCAGCTGCACTAACGGGGTGGGGTAGACAGTCTGCCCCGTGAAGGAAGCAAAGAAGTGCCAGTGGAGGAAAAGCAAAATTGTCAGGAAAAATACTGGAAATGTCTAAATATCTGCTCATGAATTCTTCCCTTCGGCTGATGTACATGGTCCCTGTCTGAAAATAGTTCAGTTTTCTCAGTGAAAAAAAAATCACAGACCCAGCCTTCAAACAGGCTGGAGAACCCACGGACTGAGCATGGGAGACACCTGCCCGTGGCCTGCAGCTCCTCCATCTCCTTAGCACTTCCACAGGGGAGTGGACGCCACTGTACACAGACAGACAAACCCAGGTGTACCCAGCTTGCAAGGCTTGGGAAGCCTGGTTCCAGAGAGCCTCTGTCTGTTCTTGGAGTTGGAGCTAATGAAACAGATATAAATCAGAGCAATGGCTGCTCCCTCGTGGGTGCTTCAGAGGTTAAATTAACGCTCAGGCAATATTCGCAGCCATTTATAAAAGGCTTTGAAGATGAAAACTGTCCTAACTTGTAAGCTTTATTGTTATGTAAAATAAGAAGATCCATTTCTTAGAGTCTTTGAGACAAGCTAAAATGAGGGAGGAGGCACAATTATTATTTTTAAATTACTCATATTGGATCAATAACATGATTCTATTCACTGCTTTATTTCAAGATTTATGGTATCCAAACACACAAACTCAATGAAATGCAAATAAAATATTATTTTTCATTACTCCTTCTTCTTCTCTCTGTGCACACGGATAGATATAGATAAATAAAGGAACTTTGCTTGATGTGTATGTGTTTTCCTGTATATTTTATTCCCATATATTTCGTACATGTGTTCATGCCTGTGTGTGTGTTTGTGTGTGTGTGTGTGTGGCATGAATACACAGATATACACATACTTCTGAGAGACCCAGCTGAGAGCTCCTCTCACCAGCTCTGGGCCTTGGACACACTATTCAAAGAGCAACTCAATGAAATAGAAATACTTGTACCTACCTTAGGGCAGAGGGATTATAAAGTGCTGTATGCAAAGTACCAAATATTTTGTAATTGGTTGCTATCATTACCTTAATTTACTTATGCCTACACACATATTGGAAACAACAAAGTGTTACAGAAACAGGACTCCACATCTCTAGAAGTGTTATAGCTGTGTTCGTTGCTTGTTTTCTGCTCCTCATTTATTGCCATGATCCAAGCAGAGGCTAGCAATTTTAGGTGGGAACAGAGTTTAAATTAACACCATTCCATAGTCATAAGCTCCCTGTATTAGGGCCTCAGCGTTTTCGTGTAGACATCAGTGGTGAAAAGTGTGGCCTTTTCTGGACAAGCTTGTTAGCCACCTTGCTCCAATTCAGTTTTGGCTTCCTGCATGCTAACTGAATTCTCCCTACTGTCTCTGGTTGAAAGCAAGAGAATACAGAACTGAGAAATGCCCCATCTCCCTCCTGAAAGACCACAGTTGGTTCAACATGAGGCGCCAGCTTCTCTGGTCAGTCCACTCGCCATGTCCCTGAGGCAGATCCTCCTCTCTGACCTGCAGCCCAGGGTGCCAGCAGCCTCCTGTGGTTGCTGCTCTCGGGTGTCTCATGTTATCCTGTTGGTCCCCTTAACTCTGACTAGTATTATTTTTATCATTTATACTGTCTCATTAGGTGTGCCATTTATTTTCTGCAGAGATAGTGGATAACATAAGGACATTGGGATTCATTAAAACAAACAAATGAAAAAACCCTAGGGTTGGGTTGTCACTTTGTGGTTACAAAACCACACCAACAGGTTACAGAACCACACCAACCTGTCACCTTCTTCACTTTCTAGCACTATTGCACTAAAACAAAAGCAATAAAAATATGATGATCAGACTTGGCTACAATCATGCTGCCAAAAGTCACAACACCTCAGTAGCAAACAGAAGTGCTTACTGCTAATATGTGCAGGGGGTCTGCAGGACGCTCTGCCGGTCTTGGCTGGGTTACCACATACGCCTCAGCCTCAGCTGTCTTTTAGTTGATCTGATATGACCTTGGCTGAGACACTGTCAGTGGTTCAGTTCTCTCCTGGGAATCGATGTTCTTCCTTGGATCATCGGGCTTGCATAGGCACGTCCTTCTCACCTGATGGAAGAGGACAGGGAGAGAAATAGAAATATATGTATGTTTTTGAAACCTCTGCTTGTGAATATCTATTAACATCCCACTGGCCAAAGCAAATCACAAGGTCAAGTCGAGTCAGAATGGAAAGATGTCACAAAGCTACAAAATCTGTAGGTGTGGATGGAAAGAGGGTGCCCCTAAAGTACTAGTAAAGTTATTCCTCCATGGGGTCAAACAAAATGCCACTTTGTCACAACTGTTACACACATCCTCGGAGCAAATAAAATAGATCCGCTTGAATATTCTTCAGATATTTTTTTGATCTAACATGTCTCCATGACATTATTATATTCTTCTTCCAAAAGCGCAGCCTGTTCTCTACTCTTTTCCTGCGTGGAATTGACATCACTATCCACTCATCCCTAAATACGGGAAGCAGTGCATGTCTCTCCACCCTTCCTCTCACTTTCACATCCTAGGAGCAGTGACTTGAGACTCTTCCCCTGTTTACTTCCTAAGTGTTTCCCAGAACCCTCTAGTTTTTTCAGTATTTATTTGTCTAAGCCAAGCATCAAGTTGTCTTACCATTTTGCCACCCTTCTGATCCAATATCTCAAGTTCCACTCACGTCTTTCATTTCTGTCTCTGAAATGCACCTCCAGTTTACAAGCATTCAAAGCACCCCTAAGATGCAATGTGGAGGGAAGAAAAGGGGAGCCTCAACTTCTGGATGGACGGCCTTCTACAGACTCCTGCACCCTCCCTTCTGTCTCACCTGCTCACAGTCCAGCTGCATGGCCTTGACTTCATGGAATGGGCGCTGTGCTTGATACTCCTGCGTCTGTGCATGATTGGTGATGGTCTTTGAGGCCTTCTACTTCCTGTTGTTCCTTTTCTAATCCCGGGCGATCTTTTACTTCCATGTCAGGAATCACCTCTTGGATTTAACTCTTGTCATCACCTAATAGTCATCACTTTGTGTTTAAATTTCCTTCCCTGTGGTCGTACCTTCAATATTCTTCCCCACCAAAGCCTCCGCCGCCGTGTGCTGAAGACAGCAGCAGCTCAACTGCTGGGGACCGCAAATCAAGTCAAGATGGCGCCTGGCAGTTTGCCAGGAGGAGTGGTTTATGAGGCAACGCCACCGAGCCATTAAGATGGTGGAGATTCCTTATTGGCTGACTGCTGTATCTAGATGATGCTAATGGAGTCAAGCTGTGTGTAACCAGTTAGGTATATATACCTCTGCTGTTGGGCAATAAGGCGGCTCCTGCTACCTTGGGTGCCCACTACCTTGAGTTCCTGCTCAGTTCCCGCTGAGTTTCCCCCACAATAAAGCAGTTCCCGCTCCAACCTTCAAGTTGCTTGTCACCTCTTGGTTATTTTGCCCAGCCGGACTGCGGCACTCAACAGCCTCAGCTTGTTGTGACCACTGTCCTGAAATCCTCCCAGGAAGCTGTGATGAAGGACGGAAGCCCAGGCTATGCTGGATGTGATGTGATCTTGGGTGGCAATGCAGCAGTGTCCTGAGGGGAACCGTTAGGTTATGAGAACTGTAACCCAATCAGTGGATTGATCCTTTTGATGATTTGATAGTTTAAATAGATTCTGTGTGGTAACTGTAGGCAGGTAGGAATCGTTGGAGAGTGTGTCCTTGGGGATTATATTTTGTCTCTGGTCTCTCTCTCTCTCTCTCTCTCTCTCTCTCTCTCTCTCTCTCT